GATCACGCCGGAGCGTATCTGATGTTGTTTACGTTGCGCCGACCTCCAGGGGAAAAATAAAGTTTTTTTCACGGGAGCTCTTTTTCAAGTCTGGAAAAAATTGCTCTCACCAAAAATGTTACGGGAGCTATTTTGAGCCTCACGGGAGCGATTTCGGTGGTTTGAAGAGCGAATCGCTCATCGCTCCCGTGTATTTTTTACCCTGGTGACCTCTAGCTCGCGCGTCCCGACCTGTTTGAATCGCACGAAGCGGTCGTCGTCTCTGACCTCCAACCCGACACGCAAGCCAACCTCCTGCCGCGCTACGTAACGCTGCGAGACCTCGGAGTCACCGCCGCGCACCTACCAGATGGCGCCACGCTGGACACGCGGGCGAGCGACCTGCCTCGCGACGTCACGCTGCGCTTGCTGGGGCTCGCCGAGGCGGAGACGGCGGTGAGCGAGGCGGTGAGACGCGCGTCTCGCGTGAGGCACGGCGCGCTGTACCGAGACGCTCTGCCGGCCTCGCTGAGCGCCGACACCGCGCTCGCGGCGTTCCCCGCCGACATGACTCTCGGTGACCTCGGCCTCGACCTCGCAGCGGGCGTCTCGCCCGAGACGCTACTCAGCAGCCTGCCCGCCGGCGCGAGACTCCGAGACCTCGGCGTCTCGCCGGAAGACGTGCGGATGCTGCGCGACCGCGCCAACCGCAACTACCAGATGCGGCACGCGGCCGTCGCCGCGGCAACGGGAGAGCTGATGCTCTGGGACGTACTCCCCGTGAGCCTGCGCGAGGACACACTTTTGAGCGAGCTGCCACGCGACATGACCTTGAACGACCTCGGCATCGCGCAGCGGATGCTGCCGCGCGACGTCTCCGCCGACACCTGCTTGTCTCGCCTCCCCGCCGGGCTCGCGGTCTCGAGTCTCGGGTTCCGCGCGGAGGACATCGCCGCGCTGCGCCGCGACGCCAACGCCAACTACCAGCTGCGCCGCGGGCCCGCGGCGACGGTTACCGCGGCGACGAGCGTCGACTCGCTGCCGCAGGAGATGACGCTGGCGGAGCTCGGGGTGACGGGGGAGGGGTTGGCACACTTGCCGGCGTGGGCGGGGGCGGAGACGCGTCTGTATGAGCTGCCGGGGTATCTCACCCTAGCGGAGCTAAGCCTGCGTGACGAGGCGTCCCTGAGCGCCGCGCGCCGTGCGCTCGACCCCGCCGCCGCCACCGCCACGGAAAACGCCGCCGTCGTTCTATGCAACGGCGTCGTCTTGTCGCCGGAGACCAGGTTTGCCGAGTTGCCACCAGAGGTCACTCTGCGGACGCTCGGGGTCGAGGATCGGGAGTTGGCGCGGTTCGTCGTGGTATGTAAAAAAATCGTTTTTTCGTTTGGCGGTGGTTAGTACGAGGGTTTCGCAGTGATGGCTGATGCTGAAACGCAGAGGTAGGTGGAGCATGTTGTTATTGTTGTTAACACTGGGCTTGTGCATGGTGTGTGACTAAACATTTCAGCGCAGCGAGCAAGGTATCTGGGTAGATTGGTAAACACAGGTAAGGATCAGCGATAATATTAATACATGATTGTGTATTATGCATGGCGTTAAAGCGTATGGAAAGCATTTTCTACCAAAAAGCATAAAACCTAGTTTTAGACCTTAAAACCGGGTTTTAAGGTATTAAAACCCGGTTTTAAGGTATAAAACTAGGTTTTAAGGTCTAAAACCCGGATTTAAGGTCTTAATACCTATGTATTATGCATGACGTTAAAGCCTGCCATTCATTTCTTGTAGAGATAGATTTACAACGTTGGACAAAAATCCATTGTGACTAAACGTGGTGGAGTTGAGATAATAAGCTGTTCTGAACTCTTTCGAAAATTGGATCATAGATAGGGGATTATTTAACAAAGCGAAGTTTGCACACTATAATTATTATTATTCACATAATATTATTAGTCAAAATTTTTTCCAAGCGTATCATGAATGCTTCCATAATAAGATGTTATTTCCGTATCGACATCTGTTTAAAACGTCATTTTGAAATTGCAGGATGAGGAAGATGAGACCAGTGAGAGGAAGAGTGCGAAGGAAGCTCTGCTACTCTGGTGCAAACGAAGAACGGACGGGTACGTGTGTTCGCCTGTAGTCATCTCTAGTAGAAAAAAAATTTGCATAAAGGTGCAAACGAAGAACGGACGGGTACGTGTGTTCGCCTGTAGTCGTCTCTAGTAGAAAAAAAATTTGCATAAAGGTGCAAACGAACGGACGGGCATGTGCACGTCCCTCTATTTTCTCAAGAGTCTCTAATAGAAAAAAGCTTGTGCACTTTCCGGAAGTCCACGCAATCCGGCTGCCGCCAAAATTTGGGAGTGATCGGATTTTCTCTGCTTCCGACTGCGCACCGTCACGCGATATCACCGGCTGTGATCGATGTGCGGAGAAAAATCAACGAGCGTCAACAAGCGGCTTCATGATTTACGAGCTGTCTCGCGAATGCCTCTCGTTAGGGTTCTCCCAGTAAACCAGGAGAAACTCGAGAATCGTGAATCTAGAGCAGCGGTGCAGCTGGCGTCCATGCAGCGAGACACGCCCCCGAACTCCGTCCGTCGTTTGTCGGCATCATTCTCTCGCTGTTTTTTTTTGCGTGATTCGTTACTCGTACTCTTATGATTCGTCTTCCCTTTAACTTCCGTCTCATCTGCTAGCGTCGCACACGAGTCTAATACCCCGTACAGACTACGAATTTGATATGGTATTAAACCGCAAATGAAGCAGGGCTAACTTAGTCCGGGTTAAGATAGCCCGCTTGTGTGTGTGTCTGTACACAACAAGAAGCGTGCTAAAGTTCGTAGTCTGTACGGGGTATAAAGCAGTGTCGTTGGCAGCCAGCGAGACACGCCCCAAACCCCAAAATCTTCCTTTCGCGGTTCTTTCGCGTGATTCGGACTCCCGTTAGCTTCCCCTCTCGGCTTCCACGCTTGCCGCTAACGCAAACCAACGCCACGCATGCATGCGGATTTTTCTGCTGCTGTTGGTTGGGAAATAAAAAAAGTCGGGGCCGGGGAATGTGGGCTATGCTGGCTGATAAGCGAACAATGTGGTTGATTTCTTTTGAAGTGTTTACTCAAATATTCATGCGCGGGTGCAGTCGTGCGTCTACGCTTTTGCGCGGGTGCATGATATGTGCGTCGGCTTGCGCTTGTTGGCATATAAATGTGCATGTGCATGCATGTTTGAGCCTACGTGTGCATATATGCTTGCTAATATGTTCGTACCTGCGCACTGGGTGTTCATCCGTGCGCTTGTCTACGAACTTGCGCGCGTGTATGACGCATATGTTTGCGTCTGTGTGTACGCACACGCGTGCGTGCATGCTCCGGCGTGCGTGCCCTCCGGATCCATTCATGGCTTACCGTATTTGCTCGTGTATATAAGTCGCACTCCTGATTTTTTTTTTATATTAAAGTTATGTACAAAAAAGTGCGCTTATACACGAGTAAATACGGTACCCGCGTGCGTGTGCGTAGGAAACTACGCGCATGTGTTCATTGCCTGCAGATACGCTGACGATGTTTACGATCCTCACTCTCGTTCTCCTTCATCGTTTGACAGCCCATGTAAATGTTACGCGCGCAGACATAGTAGAGGACGGACTGCCTGATATGCAATACTCGTTCTTACTTACTTACTTACAAGTTACTTACTTATACTTACTTACTTACTTACTTACTTACTTACTTACTTACTTACTTACTTACTTACTTAGGCCCTTAAGCCCCATGAGGAGCATAGGCCATCGACGACGCTCCACGACGCTCCGCCAGCGCACTCGACCCTGGGGGGCCTGGGCTGTTTTTTCCATCTCCCTCCAGGAGTGACCGCTTCTCTGCATTTCTGCCTGGGTGTCTCTACGCCACGTGTTTCTTGGCCTTCCATTCCCCTCTTCCTCTTTCCCTGTGGATTCCAGGTCAAGGCTTGTCTGGTGATGTTACTGGCAGGCTTCCTGAGGGAGTGTCCAATCCAGCTCCACTTCAGTTCAGTTCACTCGTTCAGTTGTGCAATAACTCCGAGCTGATCCCTGCTATTGTGTGGAGACGCATGGATAGATAAAACACAGCAAAGATTCTGTTGTAATCGAATTCACGCGAGTTAATTGAGACGGAAACGAGTACTGACGACCTTATTAAGATGAAATCCTATTCCTTTTTATTTGCAAATTTGGTACAAAATAGTGAGGCGTTATGGAATTAGCATTTATGTAGGGTTGATGAGTAGGTTAGAAGGACATGAATAGACATTTTCTCCCGTATAAGTAAGACCATGTGAATCTTTACACCTCTATTAAACCATGGTAACCCTATCAGGTCCTCCTCAACACCTTTGAGTGGAGATAGAAGCTAATGATTCGAACGCTTTTATTTACGCTGGTTTTGTTTCATGTTTTTAATTTATTTGTTTTGGATTCATATGGTTTTGATTCATTGGTTTTGATCAGGTTTCTATGTTGTCATAGTGCAAATGTTAACGTAGGCTCAGTTCTAGATGCTTTCAGTGAATTAAAACAAACAACAGGAGGATGGCTTCGGGGGGCATTGACTCTTCTGATTCCGCTGCACTCTTTCTGATTAATCTTGCAAGAAAATCAATTCTCTTCACATTTTACAGCTTAACTTTCACGAGGAATTGCATTACTGTATACATCGTTTATGATTTCATCTGGTAGCATGCTATAGGAGTTATAGTCATGCGATGGGTTGGTGTGTGTAAGTTCCCATCCAGTGCCATAGCTCTAATTCTGTCTAATTGTTATCACACACAGTATTCGTTCTCACTGTTAACTTGGTTTGTCCCGTTAATGTGTTTCGGATTTCGTTTGGATAACAAATTAGCGACGGCTTCTTTGAGGCGAAATCACGATTTCCGTTCGAAAATAGAGCTGAAAGAATGTTTTATTTCACGTTAGCTGATGTATGTTTTCCGATGGACGCAGGCAGCTGTGCCCCCACACAGTCTCAGGTATCGGTAAAATGCTGGAGCCTTTGCGACAAGCAAGTGACGGAGTGTGGGCGTAGTGTGGGCTTAGTACTCTAGGCAGCTAGGCCACTCATTAGTTGATATGAAAACATGGCAATAATGTCAACAGCATCATTAACAAAGGCTGACCCTCGTTGCTCAGCTACTGAAAGCAGAGCCATAATCTATTATTAGAAAAATGTGTTGGTACAGGCTTTCTGGTTATTTGGCTTAATTAATATGCTGGCTGTCTAGGTTGGCGTATTGCTGTATTTTTATTTTTTCTGATGTGTTTGTCTGTGTGTGTGTGTGCGTGCGTGCGTGCGTGCGTGCGTGCGCGCGTGCGTGTGTGTAGTTGTTGATATGGTTTAGTTGTAGTTGTTGATATGGTTGCTACTGCTACTGCTGCTGTTCCTTTGTGTGGGGTGCATGTCTTACCCGGCCTACGTGGTATTGATGGCTCTCAGTAATTTTACAACATTGTCTGCTCCACTATCTCTAGCGTTTGTTCTCGGCACTGACAATGCGTACATGCAGTAGAAAGCGAGTGGGTTGGGGGAAGATCTTGGGTTATGTAGCTCCATGAAATCTCATTACTCCCGCCGGTTTGTCAACATCGATCCGCAAGCAATTGTTTTAGTTTCTTTACATGAAGGATTCGATTACTCCGAGAGCGATGTAAAGGCGGCGGCTAACGATTCGATCTGGTAGCTGTGCAGATAGCAAGCCAGTGCCCTTTCCCACAGTATATCTGGATCTCCTTACGTACTACAGATTCCACAT